AGCCCCCTCCTGGCTCCATCCTCCTGTCAGGCAGTTGCAGAGAGCGATCAGGTCCCCCCTGAGCCTTCTCTTCTCCACACTAAACCCCCCAGGCCCCTCAGCCCTTCCCCATCACACTTGTGCTCCAGGCCCTGCTCCAGCTCCGGTGCCCTTCTCTGGCCCCGCTCCAGCACCTCAATATGGTTCTCTCTGTGAGAGCAAATAAGTAGGGGGAAAACCAGGCAGGAATTACCCTGCAGGGAAAGCACAGGATCAGTTTTAATGGTGAGAAACTAGACTGATTGCTGGCAGCTATGGGAAAACACCACTGGATGACAGTGAATAGGACCATGCTCTCAAACAGCTGCAGGCTCAGCTCTTCCCTACTTCCAGCCCAAACATACAGTAAACGAGCTCCTTTGGACATACTTGGAGGAACCCCACGATGTGCCAATCTCATTAAAGAGGGGACTGGAGCAGTCTAAGTAGATGCCACAGAACAGTAATGAAATGGATGGATAATCTGCAATAAGAAATCCCTGAAAACCTACCCAGCCTTTGGACTAATTGAGATTCTGTAGTAGCAGCTCTGGAGCAGACAAAGAGAAGCAAAGGTCAGGAGCTAATGAGGATGAAACAGCACTTGGTGTGAAAAGCCTTCACTTCTCCCCAGAGCTGACAGTGTAATAAGAACCAGACAATTCCTATGTTTTACTTCAAACAGGAGCATTATATACTGAAGTAGAGTTAGAGTCAGCTCCTGGGAATATTCTAGGTGATGGGTAGGGACAAGCTTGCTCAAGCTTTCCAGAGCAAGTCCATCTTAAAAGATACCTCTGTGTGGCTAAGACAGCCTGGGAGGACCACAGAAGATGCTGCTGGGCCAGGGATGCATAAGGATGCTCAGAGCTGTGAACACCCACAGTGGAGCACCTGGGCTATCCCACCCGAAGGCTGTACCTGACATCCTCACTTGTGACCTTGGTGTAGCGCAGGTTGAGCTTCACGATGCCCTTCTCCCTCATGCGCTCTGTGTCCAGCTTGAGGCCAGAAGTCTGCTGGAAGCCTGGAGCAATGTGTCTGACCAGCTGCCTCTCCGTGTCCGGCAGCCACATCACCTGCAACACAAGGATGGCAGAGCTGGTTCAAAGCTCTCAACACGAGGCACCACTGCAGACAGCCAGTTTAGACCAAGCCAGAAGCCAAATCACAGGAGAGACGGCCTCGTTTGTCAGACAAATTGTCTAGGAGACAGTTACAGCCCCCACATCTTTAATGAAACGCATTTCAGGTTTACCCTTGAGCACAAAGGATGTGTAAAATTCACTTGGAGGTGAAAAGGGGTGAGATACAAAGAGCTCACACCAAAGGCTGTATCCTTAAAATCCATCCTCCCTGCCCAGTTCAGGACAGACAGAACTAAGGACACGAGGCTATTTATTCACCCTCTCACAAGGGCTATGTCTACTGCAGCCCAGGGCAAGGATTTCTCTAAGTTCATACCATGCTTTGAAAGCATGTCAAATGAGTTACTGCTCACATGCTCAGCTGATGGATGGGAAGTGGATGCAGGAACCAAGCTGGCTTGTGCCACGCAGAGGCTGGGCCCAACCAAGATGATCTCTGCAGAATCACTGGGCATTGCATTGCTTTAACCCATGTTTAATGATGCAGTGACACTCATCATAGAGTCATCACAGACTGGTTTGGGTTGGAAGGGACCTCAAAGCTCCTCCAGTTCCAGCCCCCTGCCACGGGCAGGGACACCTTCCACTAGAGCAGGTTGCTCCAAGCCCCTGTGTCCAACCTGCCCTTGAACACTGCCAGGGATGGGGCAGCCACAGCTTCTCTGGGCACCCTGTGCCAGCACCTCAGCACCCTCACAGGGAAGAGCTTCTGCCCAACATCTAGCTGATGTCTAGTTGGGTCTGTCAGGGGACCTCTCAACACTTGCCTGCCCTCACAGGGAAGACTCATTTCCTTATATCCAGCAGGAACATCTCCCATTCCAGTTTATGACCACTGCCTCCCATCCTGACATGCAGCTCAGCAAAGAGCTTTGTTCCAACTTCTGAACAACCTCCTTTCTGGTGCTGGGGAGACCTAATAGCAGCTCTCCAAAGTCTTGGCTTTTCCATGATGAAGACACTCAGTTCCCTCCGCCCTTCTTGATACATGAAGCCCCATGACCAGGTTGGTGGCCTCTGCAGGACTCTACCCAGCTTGTCAACATCAGTCTTGTACTGGTGAGCCCCAGTCTGACCACACGATAGTTGAGTAAGGGGATTAATCACTCCACCTACTAGCTGTACTACCATTAGTACAAGATGCTACCAAGGCTTTTACTGCCAGGGCACGCTGCTGCATCAGTAGTCACCTTGGTTGGCTTTCAGAGGTCCATGCTAACCCCAGCCTCTGGGACCAGAAACCTGAAGTCACAATCTTTCCCAGCACGACTTCCAGGCACAGGGTGGCATTTCCAATCAAGTGCCCAAAATGGATCACTCCAGGTTTGATACCCAAATGGAAACACTCAAGGATTCAAAGAAACCCATAAGGAGGGCAATTTTGGGGCCATTCCCAACCACACAGAACTCACAGCCTGCTGCCGAATTCCCGATGCCAGGATGGTTTCCAGGGTGATGTTGATGTAAGTGCTGTAATAGGGATGAGCTGATGGCAAGTTCTGGAAGTTCAGGATGAGCGATGTGTTGTCCTTGATCACCTCCAGCATATCTGCCAGCTTGCAGACCGACTGGTTGGCAGCTTCCAGGTAGTCAGACCTCGAGAGAGACCCGGCCGTCCAGAAAGGGTCGTTCTGAAAGCAAAGCACATCCCAGTCCTAGTGCCATGAACTCCACACTACCCCAATACAGGTGAAGACCCTGTTCTACCCCACCTTGGCAACACTGGGGCACACTCGCATCTACTCTTGGTGACCATCTAGCAGCTTTCTCAAGTATTTCTCTGTGCCTCAGTTTCCTTACCTAAGGAGAGGTGACAGATCCTTACTGAAAGCCAGGTGTGGTGGACAGGTCAACCCATTTTCAGACAGATCCTTACTGAAAGCAAGGTGTGGTGGACAGGTCACCCCGTTTCCAGAGGCAGAGCAGAGCTATAGAGCACTAATGTCATTTTCCATGGTAGTGAAGTAAAAATGTACTTTCTCACACCACGTTCACAATCACCAAGTGACCAGAGAGGGTTCAAGGCCAGGTTGGACACAGGGGCTTGGAGCAACCTGCCCTAGTGGAAGGTGTCCCTGCCCATGGCAGGGGTTGGAACTGGATGAGCTTGAAGCTCCCTTCCAGCCCAAAACACTCTGATTCTATGATGCTTGGTCTAGCTGCACTTCAGACCACTCCACTGAGAAGGATCTAAACATCTCCACCTCAAAGAAGGTTTATGCATGAGCTTTCATCCCATGCCTATGGATCCAGGACACCCTCCCCATGGCCATACGCACCCGTAGGAACCACTCTCCAGCATTGAGCTTTTCCAGGTCAGTCCAGTTGAACATGGAGGAGTGCTCGTAGGCCCGCTCTGGGAACACTTCCTCCACGTTAGTTGTTCTCCTGAGTGTCTTGTCATGCATCAGAAATGGCACTCCATCATAGCTGCAAAGACAGGCAGAAGGCCCTATTACAAGGTGGAGGTGCACAACCACGTACACAGTACTAGGAAAATGCCTTTTCCCACTTCGTCCTCTCACACAGCTTCACATCAAAATCATTGTGAAGATCTCAACCAGCTTAACACATCCCCAACATCCTCAGGATCAGCTGAAATGAGATGCACCAAGAAGAAAAAGTCTCTTAGATACCTGCTAGATGCTTACAGTCATTCATACTCTGGCTGACCCCATTCATCTCTAGATGGCTACTAGAGTGCCAGACTCTAGTTGCTTGGACAAGAACACCCACCCTCAATGCTCACACTAACTAAAGCTTCCTGCAGCATCTGTAGCTCCCAATGTCAGAGGTTTTCCATACCCTGTATGCACACACCCCCCCCCAAACTATTCCCAAATTGTTAATAGTAGATGATGAGAAAGATTTCAAAGGCTCTCAGACGACAGAGGAACAAGGTGGTGACAGGCTTTCAGCAAGATGCAAGGGTTCCAAACTACCAAAATTGTCCTGAAATTGCCTTTTCCTGATTGAAAATGGGTTTCAGGAAGCAGCCTTGCTCACACAAGTCCATGCATCTGAAAGAAAACCCACCTCTCAGATGGAACTAAAGAGCCAAATGCGTGTCCTGTAGGTTTTAAGCCACAGATATTACAGAACAATGGTTCTGGGAAGCCAAAAGAGCTCTTTAAGCTTCCTTGCACTCCATTTTCTGCGATGGATCAGTGGTTACACCATGCAGGGCAGGGATGGTTTCTATCTGGGGCAGGGGACTGTTTGCACTCGGAAATCAAGATAAACCCAGCCTGATCACAAGGACATTTTCCTAAGCAAATAGCCCATCTTCATCACAGGAGGCTCAGATAAGGTCTGGAAATGAGATGAGGTTTAAATACAAACCCCATCTGAATGAGGAGCCAAGTCACAGCACCCAGAGCCAGAGGGAAAACAGAGCATACTTTTAGATGATGGAGCAAATGCTGCCTCTGCTTTACCATTGCCTGCAGAAGTCCCCTATCACAAAGGTCACTGGCATCTTTGTTTGCTATTTCCAGCATGCACTGTGCCAACCGCTGCCTCCCAGCCCAAAGCACCACGCTGACACAGCAATACCATGCTCAGCAGCACACTGTGCTGCTGCAGTCACAAGGGGGGTTAATAAATACAGCTAAAAAGAAGAAAATAAGCTAAGCAACTGCTGAATTAAAAGTGTGGAGTGTTTAAGGGAGATAGGAGCTCAGGTCTTAACATCTCATAGCAGAGCATGGTCAGATACTGTTAAGCCTTAACCACAGCATGGAAATCCTATGGGGTACTTAACATTTGCTCCCTCCTTTCTAATCCTTCCCTTTGCAGAGTCACTCAGCACCGCTCAAGTCTAACCACAACCTATTACAGACACAGATTTGATAGAAGTACTTCAGAGACAGAAATCAGAGCTTTAGAAGAGATGGGATAGAGGTAGAGGATGAGAGGAACACACAGCGATCCTGTTCTGCTGCTGGAAGCAAAGTTGGCTTTGTAACCAGGGCCACCCGTTTAGGGTCTGTAATGGGTAAGAAGCAGGATGGGCCTGAGTGTATGTCCAAGTAGCTCACCCATGGTAAATATGTGCCTAGAAGAACATGGAGTCATCCCAGAAGGGATGTCCTGAACCCATCCAGACACAGACACAAAGAGCATTTTTCAAAGGGATAAAGACAGTGATGGGTCTTGTGACACAAACCCTTCCCAACGCTACTGCCAGCTCCATGGATAGGTCATTTTTGGTCTGAAGGTCAATAGAACCCTCTTTTTTTATAGAGACAGTTGGTTCTCCTTGAGAGGGCCTCAGATAACTGGGCCATCAAGGGCATTAAGCTGTGGATGCTTGGAGTGCTCCTCTGGGATAGCTGATGAGTGGCAACATGGAAAGCTCTTGGAGCTTTTCCAGCTCTCCTCCTCCCAAAAGTCCATTGTTCTCCTTGGTCTGTGCTAATAGAAGCAACTGATTCATCCACGTGAGCTGAGTGCTCGTCTGTGAGTCTGGACAGCCAAGCAGTTGTCTCTTCACAACTGTTAACGAACTAACTTTGGAGAGAACAGGAATTGTATCACATACATCCCAAGACATCCTTCATCCTTCCACTGTGACCTTCCCCTCCCAAGTGGGAAGAAATTCCTTTAGTTTGTATATCATTAGCTCTCAGTTATATAAAGGAAAAACAAAGCCCCATTAACAATTAACTTTCAGAAGCCCCCCTCCCACCGGGCAAAAAGATCTTTCCATCAACATCAACCACTAAAGTGGTCAGGGAAAAACATCAGGTTTGAGTCTTTCTTGTGTTTATAACTGGAACTGAGAGAAACTGAGGGATCAAGGGGTGATGGGTTCAAACTAAAACAGGGCTGGATATAAGGAGGTTCTTCCCTGTGAGGGTGCTGAGGCGCTGGCACAGGGTGCCCAGAGAAGCTGTGGCTGCCCCATCCCTGGCAGTGTTCAAGGCCAGGTTGGACACAGGGGCTTGGAGCAACCTGCTCTAGTGGAAGGTGTCCCTGCCCGCGGCAGGGGTTGGAAATGGAGGAGCTTTAAGGTCCCTTCATCCCAAACCATTGTATGATCACCGAGATAAGGCATTACTGCTCCCTTTGTGCCACTTCTGCCCTTTTGCAATTCATGCAAAAAACACAGTTCAGAAAAGGAATAAGAATATTAAAGAATTGTCAAACTCCTGGAAAAAAGCACAGATCTTGAAATAATCCTCACTAAGTCTCGCTAAATTGGCCTTGTGTTCCTGCAAATGAAGATGAGTTTCATGACAAAGGTATCCAGGTTCTCCCACCTGGACAACTTCACCTTTAATCATCATCTCAAGGAAACCACTAGTAGCCTCCGTGCATTACAAATGATCACACAGCTGGGAGTTACTCGAGGTGTTCATCATGAGAGGCCTTTGCAGTGGGGAAAAGAAGTAGCAACCATTCACACACCAGAGAGAAGAGACCCAGCAGCATGGTTTGGGCCATCCACAGAGAGTCTCAGACCAACCAGCACACTGGCGTACCTCAGGACAACATCAGCTTGGACTCCATACATCTTCTGCTCCACTGCCTTCTGGAAGGACATCAGAGTGTTTTCTGGTGCCAACTGTGGAGGGAAATAAAGAACAATGGGAGATTATAGGTCAGTGGAAAGTCTATGAAGTAAACTGGGATGAAGGTTTAGAGATATTAGGGAGCCAAAACAATCTTGGTTTGCAGATTCCATAGCGGCCACTTACACTGGAGTGACAGCATCCCCCGGGCATGATTGCCTCTTACTGCACTCTGAAGATGACCAATGCATTTACCTCCACTGATGATCTTCTCACACTGAGAGTTCAGTGCAGAGCTATCAAAACCTCCAATACCAGAAACCCACTAGCTTGAGCTCTGGTGCAACAGTAGTGCTTGAGAGATTTGCTCACCAGCGTGGTCCCCCCCACAGTGGCTTGTGGAGATCTCCAGAAAGTGGTGGTTAATGTGATGCCAATTCTCTAGCCATGGGTTATATGTAGAGCTATTAAAATACCTTGACAGTTCTTCACTCTCCTACTCCTCTATGCAAACAGTGATTACAATGCCATTATAGCAAGGAGAAAGCCTATAAACCAGGGTATTATCCATACCATGGAGAACAACTGCAATAAAGGTTCTGTAGCACACGTTTTATTTCCACATCTACTCGTTCAATAGCCATCTATTGCTCAGTCTAAAAATCAGATGATTTCTCTAATAACAGAAGTTCTGGTTAGTTTAGCAACTAGAAAAATAGCCTTAAGCCTAGAAAACGTGTCCCTATGGTTATCATGGATGAGGACTCAGATCTTAGTTCACATTCTATCCTGTTTAATGGAGCAGCTGGTAACAGGATTTGGGTTTGTTTAAAAACACCACAGTGTGAAGACAAACACTTTGGTTTTCTACAGACTAGTACAGGATAGCTAGCCCTAAACCAGCTATAAACCAACACCAGGCAGCCCAGATATAAACCACCACAGCTACAAAGACAATAACTGGCAGGTTTGCAGCACAGAAACATGAGCACATCGAAATAAAGCTAGTTTTTAAAGTCATTTTCTGGTTTCCAATTTGCTTTCAGGTTTACAACACCTCTAACCCCCTGTTTTCCACCCATCTCAGCACCACAAGCATCAGTAGGTTCCCATCAAGACAGAAGGAGCATTCACAAGCATGATTATCACGGGGTTTGGAAGAGGAATAATTAGAACTAAGACCTAAATACACCGTGCAAAACTCACAGTAAAAACCTGCTCAAGAGTTTAAGGTGTCTCCAAAAATCACTTGTTTTTTGCAGCTCAGCAAAGCTTTAGGGTACAATCATCAGACCAAATGTCAGCAACAACCTCCACGTAGCTCCCGTATCTCTCCACTGAATTCCTCTGGCCCAAGCCACCACCAATGCTGGTTCATTTCTGTTTGTGCCAAGGCAACACAGAGGCACGTTATCGTCCCAAAAAAGCTCCTAGTCAGAGCCTGGCTTGTGTAGGTGAAGACAACACCCCCATCACACCCACTTGTACAACCCCAGCACTGGGTCACGCAAGGTCG